ACTTCACTTAGTCGAATCTGCAAAAATAATTTGATGAGTCCAGAATCATCAAAATTTGGCCAATCTAAAACAGACAATGATTCTGGGGTTGAATTAGTTTTGGCTTGTGGGGCTAGCTGGAAAACTCAATGCCCTTTTCATAAGGCAATCCAGTAGTAAATACCCTTGAAGCGTATGGAAAGTAGGTGGCGAATCATAGCACTATCATTAACCGTGCTATTCTCCTTGCATTCTATATTTAATAATGTCAGTCTATCAAAATACTTATTAGATCAACTTCTTTCCTTTTTGAGGCTCTGAAAGTGTCTAGGGACCATAAATTCATTATGTTATAATGATATGAGCCATGCGTGGCAAATGCCTGGCAACTCAGTTTTCATGTCAGGGTTGTAAAAGTGCTTAGGGGCTATAAATTTATTATGTTATGATGATGATGATGGTTATTGAAACCATTCATACACTGCGGCTCATACAACAGTAATAACTGCCCGATAAGAATGTAATTATGATGGAGTACATAGCGTATATGTAGCAAATGGTTCTGCTATAGATAGACCGTCAAATCAAGAACCAAGTATAGGCAGAAGTGATCACATTTACCACCAAGCCAAGAACTTATAGCGACATTAACCAATCATGAAACTTTCTTTGATAGAAGTGTCAATATAAAACCTCTTAAACCTGAGCATTTGTTCCATCTTTTTTTATCTATTTCTTATTCCTCTTTCATAATGAAGTTCCTAGGTTCCATCTTGGCTGCTACTTTTGTTGCTGTGTCTACAGCATTTCCTGCTTCTGTGCATAACTCTTTAAACACTATCCATGGCAACAATGGCGATGCCTCAACTACACCTTTCTATGTCACTGCACCTCTTGAAAACACTACCTATACAGCGCCATCGATGTAGGATTTCTATGTGTTTATTTGCCGTTTATTTACTAATTAATTATCTTTCCTAATGCTGAATACATGTAGTGTCACCACAAGTAAGTTGCATTAATCAGTTTCTATTCTGCCTGCCTCAACTGGCATTTATTGTAGCTTGGCTCAATGGCATTGATGAGCAATTTACCATCGCTGTTCTGGAAGGCAAAGATCCTGCGTCAATGAAACCTATTGGCCTTAATTTAACAGCTAACGGCAAGACTGGAACCTACGTATGGACTGTAAGTTTGTTGATCATTGGTAATGGTTTTCTTACGATAGCTAATTATGTTTCGACTAGGTTCCTAAAGAGCTTGTTGGTGGTACTTACGCATTCCAATATATCTTTGATCTTTATGGTATCACGTAAGTAGCACATGTGTTTTCGGTCTATAAAAGCACGCTTGCTCATTTTCTCGACATAGCTCTGCTACCTATTCTAATCAATTCAAGGTCATTGGTAATGGCTCTGCCAATACCAGTGCCACTACTGTTGCCCCAGCGTCAATTATTTAATGCTGTGCAACGTACGCTTTAATACATAGTTATGGAATATATTTCTATAAATCCCTCAGCAATTGTAACGTCATGCTTGAAACTACATACATCTTTTGCCGCAAACACATGGTCCTGAAACATTTTGACATTTCAGTAACGGGAAAAAGGGAAGGGACCGTGCGTGGGACACTGATTGAAGGCCAGAAATAAGATGGATCATTAAAATTTTTATTTCTAAAGTGTATGATAGTATGGTAAAATGTACAAATGCAAGATTTAAGCTTGATTTTCATCATGACATTCTTGGGCAAGAATCTCGAAGTTTTCAGTATAAGACCACAAAGAGGCATTGTTAGTCTCACCAATGCGAACTGTGAATACTTGGTGGTCAAAAGATGGGAGGATAGGGGTAGTGTAATTGTCGAGAGAACAAGGAATAGAAGTGTTGGTCAAGTTGAAGACAACTTCGGTCGTCTCAACATCAATCAATTGAATGTTACATAAGAGACCAAATTCAGATGCTGAACTGTTCCATTGAACCAAACCAGTATATCCAGTGTACCATTCGGTATATGAGTCAGGAATGGTAATCTCCAAAGCAGCAAAAGCAGAAGCAACCAAAGCACAAATACCTGTAAAGAGAGTAGCAGCCTTCATTTTTTTTTCAACGTTGTTGTCAGAGAAAAAGAGAAATACGAAAAGATCTATTTTGATCAAATGCGATTTATATACTATTCTGATTTCTGTTTAACCCAAAAAAACTAAGTGTCTATCATGGCTACCAAACAACAACTACCGAGTTTCAAATGCTTTGTAGACAGATGGACCTTTTACTCTTACTTGCTCAGTGTGTGGAAATGCCGTTATGGTCCAAATGCTTTCTCAATAAGAACGTAAAACATTATACATCTGTACTGGTTTGAGGCATTTTCAATTGCTTTGGAAGTCTATTCTGCTATTATGACAAATCTGTTGACGGCACCCATTGTAAGAGCCCTGCAGCGGATCTAACTGCTTCTAAATACTAAAATAAATATACAAATCAGCACATGGTTTGGCATCGTGATAAATTCTTCATTTGATTACATATTGAGCAGTTTTGTTTACTATTGAGTCAACGTAGCACTTTTCATGCTCTCTCCACTATGCTACCAAGTTGGTTTGGCATGCTTTTGAATCATGATTCTTCCCTATTTTGTACCATTATAGATTTTGCAACAAGCAATACCAACATCAACCTCATTAGGAAATGTCATGATGATTGCACAATGTTTTAGATTGAAATGGAGATTGCACAGATTGGTTGCTTGCAAAAGTTAATCCGTAGCATGTTATTTTGGTGCCTGTATTTCATCATTGCACCAAATATTCATGAGGCAACAACAAAGTTGTTTCACATGAGCCGTTTTAGACCGCCAGAATAGCACTATATAATTGCTCTCATCTAGCACTTACTTCCTGATATGTTTGCTCAACTTTTTGGGACCAAAAAAACATGGCCAAAATCCTTCAAAAACTATGAGAGGTACCTCATGGTTTTCGTTGAAAATCAAACGATCGCGTTTTTCGCCTTGAAAATGAAGACGTTTACAATGGTATACGAGCCTTTCAACACTTCGGGTGGTTTCCTGACCTACGCTTCGCTTCGGTGGAAACCAACCTACGCTCAAACGACTCGCGCTGTCGCGGGCCTTTGGCTAATATCGCAAAATTAATACAGCTAAAATATTAGAAGAACCTTGATTGCTGATTGATATATAATCACTAATCATATGAGTGTTTACACTTCAGATGATTCTCTACCTTCGCGTCGCTTTGGTGAGAAACAATCTGCGCAGCGGCAACTCGTGCTGCCGATTGCCCTTGCGTATCTTATCAAAATACTGCTACTTTCATTTTGTCCCTCCACTTACACATGAAAATCCTTCATATTATCTGTGGATCTGACTCTTATCTGATGCTCTACATCCATATACATGTATCTACTTCATATACGGGCAAGTAGCATACTGGTATTTCCACTTTTTAGTCCTTAGTGTCCATACTACAGCAAAATTTGAATGCATTTGAGCTGCGTTTTCTCGCGTCCAAGGCCGTTTTAGATTGTCATAATAGGACAGAACACTTGCTCTCATCTGGCAGTTACTTTCTGACACCTTTGCTCAACTTTTTGGGGATCAAAAAAACATGAACAAAATTCGACCAAAAAGCATGAGGTACCCCTCATGGTTTTCACTGAAAATCAAACGATTGCATTTTTCATCTTGATAACGAAGACTTTTACTATGGTATACCTTGAATCAAAATGTTTCTCTCGATCCAAAGCAACCTCTGAAATCATCTTTGTGGGACTTTGATATGTAAAATTTCGACATTTTGGCCAGAAACCTCTTTTCATATTTTCATAAATCATTTGATAAGTTTATTCAAATCATCTATTTTACTTAGTACCATTGGATGCGCCTTGAAAAGTACTTCAGGAAAGCTTAAGGAAGCATTTTTTTTTTGTAGGGGAGTCGAGCTCCAGGTTTTATTTAAAGTCCTTTAAATGTCATACTGAGGGATAGAAAAGACTGTTGGTGGACCCAATGTCTGCAATGAAGGGGAATAAGATATTTTTGAACTAAGTTGGGAAAGAAATCTACTACTAATAAGGTGCGACTCCTAGAGCCAGTACAGTCTTGCGGAAATCGTCAAAATATAGATCATGGATAAGAGTACAAAACACCATACGAGGACATCAGTAATACGTCAAAAAAATCAAACAACTTGCGTTCACCAGGATTTGAACCGGGATCCTCCCGTTGGCATACGGGAAGCTTAAGGAAGCATGGGGTGATCATCATACTTCACTTAGTCGAATCTGCAAAAATAATTTGATGAGTCCAGAATCATCAAAATTTGGCCAATCTAAAACAGACAATGATTCTGGGGTTGAATTAGTTTTGGCTTGTGGGGCTAGCTGGAAAACTCAATGCCCTTTTCATAAGGCAATCCAGTAGTAAATACCCTTGAAGCGTATGGAAAGTAGGTGGCGAATCATAGCACTATCATTAACCGTGCTATTCTCCTTGCATTCTATATTTAATAATGTCAGTCTATCAAAATACTTATTAGATCAACTTCTTTCCTTTTTGAGGCTCTGAAAGTGTCTAGGGACCATAAATTCATTATGTTATAATGATATGAGCCATGCGTGGCAAATGCCTGGCAACTCAGTTTTCATGTCAGGGTTGTAAAAGTGCTTAGGGGCTATAAATTTATTATGTTATGATGATGATGATGGTTATTGAAACCATTCATACACTGCGGCTCATACAACAGTAATAACTGCCCGATAAGAATGTAATTATGATGGAGTACATAGCGTATATGTAGCAAATGGTTCTGCTATAGATAGACCGTCAAATCAAGAACCAAGTATAGGCAGAAGTGATCACATTTACCACCAAGCCAAGAACTTATAGCGACATTAACCAATCATGAAACTTTCTTTGATAGAAGTGTCAATATAAAACCTCTTAAACCTGAGCATTTGTTCCATCTTTTTTTATCTATTTCTTATTCCTCTTTCATAATGAAGTTCCTAGGTTCCATCTTGGCTGCTACTTTTGTTGCTGTGTCTACAGCATTTCCTGCTTCTGTGCATAACTCTTTAAACACTATCCATGGCAACAATGGCGATGCCTCAACTACACCTTTCTATGTCACTGCACCTCTTGAAAACACTACCTATACAGCGCCATCGATGTAGGATTTCTATGTGTTTATTTGCCGTTTATTTACTAATTAATTATCTTTCCTAATGCTGAATACATGTAGTGTCACCACAAGTAAGTTGCATTAATCAGTTTCTATTCTGCCTGCCTCAACTGGCATTTATTGTAGCTTGGCTCAATGGCATTGATGAGCAATTTACCATCGCTGTTCTGGAAGGCAAAGATCCTGCGTCAATGAAACCTATTGGCCTTAATTTAACAGCTAACGGCAAGACTGGAACCTACGTATGGACTGTAAGTTTGTTGATCATTGGTAATGGTTTTCTTACGATAGCTAATTATGTTTCGACTAGGTTCCTAAAGAGCTTGTTGGTGGTACTTACGCATTCCAATATATCTTTGATCTTTATGGTATCACGTAAGTAGCACATGTGTTTTCGGTCTATAAAAGCACGCTTGCTCATTTTCTCGACATAGCTCTGCTACCTATTCTAATCAATTCAAGGTCATTGGTAATGGCTCTGCCAATACCAGTGCCACTACTGTTGCCCCAGCGTCAATTATTTAATGCTGTGCAACGTACGCTTTAATACATAGTTATGGAATATATTTCTATAAATCCCTCAGCAATTGTAACGTCATGCTTGAAACTACATACATCTTTTGCCGCAAACACATGGTCCTGAAACATTTTGACATTTCAGTAACGGGAAAAAGGGAAGGGACCGTGCGTGGGACACTGATTGAAGGCCAGAAATAAGATGGATCATTAAAATTTTTATTTCTAAAGTGTATGATAGTATGGTAAAATGTACAAATGCAAGATTTAAGCTTGATTTTCATCATGACATTCTTGGGCAAGAATCTCGAAGTTTTCAGTATAAGACCACAAAGAGGCATTGTTAGTCTCACCAATGCGAACTGTGAATACTTGGTGGTCAAAAGATGGGAGGATAGGGGTAGTGTAATTGTCGAGAGAACAAGGAATAGAAGTGTTGGTCAAGTTGAAGACAACTTCGGTCGTCTCAACATCAATCAATTGAATGTTACATAAGAGACCAAATTCAGATGCTGAACTGTTCCATTGAACCAAACCAGTATATCCAGTGTACCATTCGGTATATGAGTCAGGAATGGTAATCTCCAAAGCAGCAAAAGCAGAAGCAACCAAAGCACAAATACCTGTAAAGAGAGTAGCAGCCTTCATTTTTTTTTCAACGTTGTTGTCAGAGAAAAAGAGAAATACGAAAAGATCTATTTTGATCAAATGCGATTTATATACTATTCTGATTTCTGTTTAACCCAAAAAAACTAAGTGTCTATCATGGCTACCAAACAACAACTACCGAGTTTCAAATGCTTTGTAGACAGATGGACCTTTTACTCTTACTTGCTCAGTGTGTGGAAATGCCGTTATGGTCCAAATGCTTTCTCAATAAGAACGTAAAACATTATACATCTGTACTGGTTTGAGGCATTTTCAATTGCTTTGGAAGTCTATTCTGCTATTATGACAAATCTGTTGACGGCACCCATTGTAAGAGCCCTGCAGCGGATCTAACTGCTTCTAAATACTAAAATAAATATACAAATCAGCACATGGTTTGGCATCGTGATAAATTCTTCATTTGATTACATATTGAGCAGTTTTGTTTACTATTGAGTCAACGTAGCACTTTTCATGCTCTCTCCACTATGCTACCAAGTTGGTTTGGCATGCTTTTGAATCATGATTCTTCCCTATTTTGTACCATTATAGATTTTGCAACAAGCAATACCAACATCAACCTCATTAGGAAATGTCATGATGATTGCACAATGTTTTAGATTGAAATGGAGATTGCACAGATTGGTTGCTTGCAAAAGTTAATCCGTAGCATGTTATTTTGGTGCCTGTATTTCATCATTGCACCAAATATTCATGAGGCAACAACAAAGTTGTTTCACATGAGCCGTTTTAGACCGCCAGAATAGCACTATATAATTGCTCTCATCTAGCACTTACTTCCTGATATGTTTGCTCAACTTTTTGGGACCAAAAAAACATGGCCAAAATCCTTCAAAAACTATGAGAGGTACCTCATGGTTTTCGTTGAAAATCAAACGATCGCGTTTTTCGCCTTGAAAATGAAGACGTTTACAATGGTATACGAGCCTTTCAACACTTCGGGTGGTTTCCTGACCTACGCTTCGCTTCGGTGGAAACCAACCTACGCTCAAACGACTCGCGCTGTCGCGGGCCTTTGGCTAATATCGCAAAATTAATACAGCTAAAATATTAGAAGAACCTTGATTGCTGATTGATATATAATCACTAATCATATGAGTGTTTACACTTCAGATGATTCTCTACCTTCGCGTCGCTTTGGTGAGAAACAATCTGCGCAGCGGCAACTCGTGCTGCCGATTGCCCTTGCGTATCTTATCAAAATACTGCTACTTTCATTTTGTCCCTCCACTTACACATGAAAATCCTTCATATTATCTGTGGATCTGACTCTTATCTGATGCTCTACATCCATATACATGTATCTACTTCATATACGGGCAAGTAGCATACTGGTATTTCCACTTTTTAGTCCTTAGTGTCCATACTACAGCAAAATTTGAATGCATTTGAGCTGCGTTTTCTCGCGTCCAAGGCCGTTTTAGACTGTCATAATAGGACAGAACACTTGCTCTCATCTGGCAGTTACTTTCTGACACCTTTGCTCAACTTTTTGGGGATCAAAAAAACATGAACAAAATTCGACCAAAAAGCATGAGGTACCCCTCATGGTTTTCACTGAAAACCAAACGATTGCGTTTTTTACCTTGATAACGAAGACTTTTACTATGGTATGTATTGAATCAAAATGTTTCTCTCGATCCAAAGCAACCCTTGAAACCACTTTTGTGAGGTCTTCATATGCAAAATCTGGATACTCTCGCTAAAAGCCTTATTTTATATTTTACTGAATTGCTCAATAATGTCATTCAAAACACCTACTGCAATTAGCACCGTTGGATGCGTCTTGAAAAGTACTTCAAGAACGCTTAAGAGAGTATGGGATAATCATGGCGACTTACATAGTCTATTTTTGCAAAATAGGTCGTTGGAATCGACTTGAGGTCAAAAAATTACTATTTCAAGCAAAGAAACATAACCGAAGATTTAGTTATTTTTCGGCTGTGGCCAAATGCTTTCTTATGAAGAAAATCAATGATTTGGAGCTCATAAGAAGACGATTGCGAAATGAAGAGTATCATAGCTTAGTCTAATTACTACGTTTAGCTATTGCCACGCGTATTTTTTTGGATACAAAATCTTAATATTGCAAATTGCTTAAACGAACACGAAATGCCGAATTGTCGCCCTATAATATTCTAAATTGTATATGCTACCTAGATTGCGAACCATGTCGGTAGATATAGTATAATAAGATTTTACATTTTGGCTTTAATCTAGTATATCATTGAAGAAGCATTGAGGTGTTTATTGATAAGAAGCTCAATTGATGTAGTAAAAGTAGTATGCAGCAGTTATTGATATCAGCAAAACTAGACCAGCTAACCCTTCATTTTAAGCACGCAATGAGTTAAGAGAATAGTAAATAATTATTGTTCCTAGATTACCTGTATATAACCAAGGATACCAAGCATGACTACGAACTCTTTTCTTGATCTGTTCATATCGTTGGGAAGCGCCTTTCAGAAAGGCCGTGTGCACAGAAACACGTTCCTGCAATTGAGCAATCCTCGATCGATCAACATGGTATTGAGTAATTGAATCAGCCAATTGGTGATTCACATAATCCAGTACTCGCTTAAGCGGGCCAAACTGTATATTCAGAGTTGTATCCATTGTGGAATCTAGAGATTGATCTAGTTCCAACAATTGCCGAGTATAATCGGATATATCTTGCTTGGCAGCGTTTATTCTGCAAATCAATTGTTGAATGTTGTGCAATTCCTGCTCAGTCTCTCTCTGTACACTCTCCACTACAACACTGCTTGATATTTCTCGACTACAGCAGCGGCGGTTAATGTCCCATGCCATCTACTTGATACTCAACCACTTACACTCCAATTGTAGTTGCATTTGACTTTGACGATGGTCGACGAGTAGTAGGATGAGCACTGTTGTCATCGTCATCAATGCCAGATCCTTCGTTGGCATCAATGTTGGGGTTTTCTGTGTCCAACGTAAGATTTCGCAAAATAGTGTGCTGCAGTTTAACCAAATTCATAAACATCATCTTTTCCGAGAAGCATCGAGCCGTTAGCTTGAGTTCAGTATGCCTTGTTGTTAAAATGACATTATTATCAAACATGTTTTCGTCATCTGTCACTGTGCAAGGCGCATGAATCCAACCATTGCGCAAATTTCGTTCATATGACAAGACATCACTGAGTGTAACATTTGCATGGACTTTGGGCGTTGACGGTGGTGTTTCTGTCAAATTGTTGAATGTCGAGGAAGAAGTATTACTGGTATTGGTATTATTATTATCGTCGCTGCTACTGTTGCTATCGCTTTTATTTGCGAATAAATCTTCTTCGTCATGCTCTGCATTTGCATTACCAGTGCCTCCTCCTCCTCCAAGGTTCTCCTCGTCAATGGCTAAAGTGTGTTTCCAGCTTTTGAACATGTCATGAATTAGTTTAGAAGAACCACGCGCTGCAGCGACGGGACGTAATGCTTTTCGTAAATCTTGAGGCGAGGGATGTGTAGGCAAAGTAGCGTGATGGAAATAAAGAAAGGCAAGCCTCGATCGTACAGGTAGTATGGCAATGGTGGATTCCAACACTCGAACAAGCACATACGAGTGCATGTCGGGCCAGTGAAAGCAGAAAGTGTCAATCACTTCAGGATTGAACTTTTTTTCATGTTGTAAATGCCTACTTTTCTTCTTTATCAGTACTGGTGTCGATGCTGTTGCTTGAGATTTATTGTGTTTGTTCTTTTTAGCATTATTTGTCAACCAATGTCTATTGTGTGATATACGAATGTAAGGGTCAACATACATTGGATTCATTTAAGGCTACACAACGATAGTTTTTGTATAATGTTTATGTTGAAATGTGTTTTTATTGCCACGAGGGTCGATAATTTAGACTACAGCAGTAGAGGGTTTGTCTCATCAAACTAGCCAAACGGAGTTTTTCTGCTTGATCCTTTAATCAGCAAATAATAGAAGGTATTGTTGCGTGTATTACAAACAAAGATTCAAGGTAAAAGATGTGTGTCGTGGAAAATTGGAGTGTAGCACTTTTTTTTTGACTTGGTGTCACACTGAGGCTTTTGAATGGGTTACAATAAGGAATTGATAAGGGATGAAAAGACTGCAAACAGAAAAGTTCTTCCATTCACATAAATTGCTACGTATTACGGCAACAACTTGGTGATATGGCGTTGCTATGGTAATGGCAGCTATTGGGAGACTCTTATCTTTATCTATTTAGAACAACTCCGTCTTCATGAGGATTTTATTGTTACGGTAATACAATGTATCAACTCTTTTCCCACCCAAATGTAGTGTAGTAATGGTAATATCCTTAAAATATACCACAAAAGCCATGCTTCCGTTGGCTAGGTTGTGTTTTGGTTTGAATCATCTCGGGTAAATTAGTAACTACAGCTGAAAGGGACCCTAATGATCCTCTCAATGCCATGTTTTCATGATTCATCATGTTTTTATTCAAATGATCTGCGAACTTCCATGATTTCGCCTGCTTATAGTTAAATTTATCCAGTAGACTAAAATCAATTGCTCTCAAAGAAATCACGCCCGAAAACGAAATGCCTGAAGTAGCCGAGTGATACAAATACTCACCCGAACCCATCGTATGAAGTCGTATGAACCTCACATTAGAAGTTATGAGAAAAACAAACAAGGTAAATCAATAGGAAACTCTATAATTTTAATCATGCTGTGTTTTTCTGATATCATAGTAGCACAGTTAATGAGATGCTTCTTTGTTTATTTGAAGATGATGGCACTTGACATACGAGATGATCAAAGGTGTATGAAATGCAACCTTCAACACGAGCCTCTACTGTAATTTTGAAGGATTTTTAAGTACTGGATATCACTGTTAGATGTGTAGCTTATTAGCAAATGTTATTCTGTAAACTGTTGTCTACAAGTAGCTATTGCTCCACAGCCATCATTGGTGAAAGGATTTGATCTGCCTTTAATCTGAGAGGATACATAGTACGGGTAAATTTTATTACGCTTCTCTGACCAATAATACAAGCCAGCCATTGTGTGCTTCAAAAGCAAGATCTAATCTGTACACAATACCAATGCAATGCGCTTAGATAAGACTTTTTTGTAAGGGTTTGCAATTTAAATGGAAGACTTACCAGCAAGGTTGTATAATTCGCCTCGCTGATCCCCCCAATGAAACGCTTCTTGGCATATGATTGGTAGTAGCATCTCGGTTACGGTCTATGTAATATAACTGTAACTATGAATTTTGGTGTAACTTTTCGATTATACAACTAAAAAGAAACCATTCCGGTCAAGGTTGCTCAAATAAAAGGGAAACCGAGCGATAAGATCAGATGAGTATTAAAACAAGAAAAAAGCTTATCGCTAACCAGTAGTTGATTTGTTTTCTGTTTTTAGTTTTTTTTTATTTACACAAACAAATTAACAAAAAATTAAGGAGAATATACATATACAGTAGAAGAGCTAAGAGTGTGAAATCATATACATAGTAATAAAAGGAAATGAAAAGGGGGAATATATAAATATATGTGTGTGATTAAGCTGTGCTGGATGAGCTAATGGACGAGTTACTATTTGATGCTTCATTTACAGACCATTTGCCAGTTTCACCATTGACATCAATATCATAAGAAAGTGTTTTGCCTGAATGATAAACAAATCCATCATGTCTCACCAATAACAATGGCAATTCAAAGTATCTTGCACCATCAGGTCGTGTAATCAGCATGTCATGGTTTGCCACCAGCAATTCTTGAGTATCAGGCACGGATATTGTCAGACTTCCATCATTGTTGGAGACTGGTAATGGTCCATGAGATCCAAGCCAGAACTCCAAGAGTCGAGAATATGGGAGCGATTGCATCAAATGTTGTCCAAATGCTTTCAAGGAATGTGTTTGAGGTACATAATCAATTGAAGTGATGACGGGAAATGGAACAATCGATCTAGGTGGTGATGGAGGGGGAGACAATTGTCTGGTAGCATAATCAATAGGTTGTTGTGGTTGTGCAAGTGGTTGTTGAGGTGGTTGAGTTGATTCTGGAAAGCTATATTCAAACTTGGAGATACCCACAATAGTCCAGCAAAGATAATCGTCTACTGGGTCGCCCTTCTCAGTGTTGTTGGTGCCGGAGGGAGCCTTGGATGGAATGAAATCAATCCATGCATTGGTGTTGTGGTTGACATTGCCGTTGTCAGATTCAGGAGAGTTCATCGCTAGACCGTTTGCGTTCAAGTATAAGGGCGCTGATGAAGAGGTAGCAGAGGCAGATAATTGGAGGGCAATCTTTTGCATTTGGCTCAAAAGACCATACGAATTATTCACCACATGTCCCTTATCCACTTTGCGGATGATAAGAGGAGGAGAAGAAACGCCAGTATTCACATCTTTGAGGATGATTTCAGTGCCATAAGTGATGGGAACAGATACGCTGTGATTTTCAGGGTTAACGGCTTGATTGGGTTGACGTACAACAATAATTTCAAAGGGGGACCAGGAGGAATGCTTTGCACATAGCTGCTTGTTCTCTGATGTCATGTATTTTGTACGGACAGTTTGAGAATTGATACGATTAAATAAGGATACATATGAATTTGTAAATAGACAGGTGGAGATGTTGCGAGCTTTTGCTGTCTTTTTTGATGGTTTGGAAATGATGGAAATGGGGCTGCTGAAGAAGGAAGCATAAGGCTGTTGCTGTTGCTGTTGCTGTTGCTGTTGTTGTTGTTGGCTATTCAAATTGACACGAAGACAGAATTGCTTTGCCTTTGCGGTACCTGTGACAAAGAGGTATTTGAAGCTGCCTCGCAGGTTTTCATCAAGCAGTGTACGTTGCTCCAATTGACGATCTCCAGTTTCACATACAACTGACATTGATACGATTGGACTTTGTTTTGCATTAGACATCATGACAATTGGTGGAGGACATAGAAATCTCTTTTCAGAACCGTAGGATTTCTGCGCTACTGATGCATGATAACAGGTAACAGTGGACGTCATTGGCTTTTGTTGCTGTTGCTGCATTTGATGATGGTTGTAGTAGAGTGGTGGTGATTGCGGTGGTGGAGACAGTACAGGAGACGCTGAGCAGTGTCTCTTATGGCTCATGTAATCGCTATCAGAATCCAGCATGGATTCAATTGACATGGATTGCTGGGGAGAAGATGGTCTGCTACGTTTTCTGCTGTTATTTGGATAGGGCAAGTGTATGGGATGTGCGCTGTCAATTGCACTTAATAATGACTCCATTGGTGTCATGTTTATTAGTTGAATCTTTTTGCTAGATCCATAAGGATGTTCTGAAATTATATTATCCATGTTTTTTGAAATAGAAAGAAAGAAGGAAATAACTAACAAATAGCCTTTCAATTCTAATATTTATATAGGAAACGGGAATTGGAGTGTAACGAAAATAATAAGGAGGTTTACTGATAAGATGTTTCCTTGATCTTATCACGTGGGATTTTCTCTTTAATTTTCCCAGGAAATAAATGTGTTGATTTATATACTGTAATAATGATTTCTGTCTTTTATATGTTCATCTGGGTGTTTGTGCCGACTAGACATGCTATAATGGCATTTATCTTCATGACAATACGATGCTGCCGTCTGCTAGAAAGTGCTTGACAGATTCCTCTACTGATAGAATGTAGATGTAGGCACATATACCACCATTTGCGCTTTTCTCTATATTGCAATAGATCTACAAGCACAAAAGAGTATAATAATAAATTTCCTTAATAAGCATTGATAAGAAAAATCATTCTTATTCGCCTTAGATTTTGACAGGCATCCTCATGTGATGCTTCGACGCTCCGATTGATGTTATTGGAAGAGACACTCTTCTTACAGCTAAAAACGCACAAAGACATCACGCTCTAACTTTTGCAATAGCCCCTTTCTAAATCAAGCACCGTGAGAATTGTTTCTTGCGAATAGATAAGAAAATGAAATCGATCCCGTCTATAATGTTACACATATATTTGAAAATTCTTTAACAATGGTTTTTTTTTAGAGTAGAAAAAAGCGATATGACAAAATATACCTTGCTAATGAGATGGTGAAGTATTATCCGCTGTATGCTGGATATCTACGTTTTTCTATATGAAAACAGACGTGGACGCAACTCGATAAGCTATATATTTGATCAGTGAATTATCAAACATAGTGCCATGTCAAGATTCTCACATTTTTTTCACACAGTTTGTATCATATTCTTGATTTTTACAATCTTTGAATGTGATGTTACCCAAAAATAGGCTAGTCAACAATGTATGTTACAGAGGCACGTCTCTCTTCATCTATACAGTTTTCCAAGCATCATATTATATATGAAAGATTTGCTTTATGTAGCCTAAGCGTGCAATGAAACATCAAGTTGATTTTCAATACGTTTTTCTTTTTCTTTTACTCAAATCGGTCCAATTTTATTCAATCTCTGATGTGGCACGGAAGTTTGCAAGCTCAGCTGTGAAGCTGGAGCATTTTCCTAACTCGAAAAAGGAAAGTGATGCAGGTGATTTGCCTTGATGTCAAGCCCATGATTAACTGAAGCATGAAATAAGCTTTATCATCTTCACTATATATACTGAAAACTATGTTTTTAAAAAATAAAGCCAACCACAACCTTTCAAATATAATTCTAAAGAATTGAGAGCTGGACAAAGATGAACAAAACCACCGGAGAAACCGACAATGGGGAGGGAGTTTGAGGGGTTTACCGTAGCGAAGTAAAGGTGCAAAACCTATAACAACTAAGCATCTAATCTAACACTTGGTAGCATTAATCTATATGAGGGCTTGATCGCAGCGAAGCGAATGTGCAAAACCATAGTATTTAAGCGGCAAATTCGGTTTCTTATTTCCATTATTATCAAGACTTCATATCTTGACATGTAGGCTTTTCTGAGCCACCGAAATGACGACAAACAATTGTACTTGAGTAGTAGTAACTTCCTGACACCTTTGCTCAACTTTTTGGGCCAAAAAAAAACATGGCCAAAGATCGACCAAAAAGCATGAGGTACCCCTCATGGTTTTTGACGAAAATCAAACGATCGCATTTTTCACCTTGAAAATAAAGACTTTTACTATGATATGTATTAAATCAAAATGTTTCTCTCGATCCAAAGCAACCTATGAAACCACTTTTATGAGATGTTCATATGCGGAATATGGCTATTTTCGCTAAAAACCTCATTCCATATTTTACCAAATTACTCAATAGTTTTATTCAAAACACTTATTACAGTTAGTACCATTGGAAGAGCCTTGAAAAGTACTTCAAGAATGTATTAGGAAGCGTAGGGTGATCATCACAGTTCATATAGTCGAATATCACAGAATAGATTAAAGAAGTCGAGAAAAGACGAAATCTGTCCAATCTTGTGCAAAAAAAAAATCTGAGTTTTAATGGTTTTAGCGGCGGTGACGGGCGGCGCTGCTACTGGCTGGCCCAAATGCCTTTCTGATGGTGACAATGATGATTGCGATACTGATCAAATGGGAATCATGAAATTGAAAGGGCAATTGCTTAACCCAAATACTTTTTTTTCGGGGGGGGGGTTTACTTATAAATGTGCCTTTTGCAATGACAATATTTGAAAAACGTATCTGTAGATCTTACACAAATCCTGTATTTACACGTAGCCAGCTTTATGTCGCCAGCTCAAGAGCAACACCAGCGAATGATATAGCAATTCTACTACCAAAAAATATGGTACAAATGAAGAATGTAATATCATCATAACATAACAAATGTTCAGTCCTTAGACACTTTACAACCCTAATATGGAACCTGAGTTTCAAGGCATCTATCAGACCTGGCTCATATGAGAATAATGATTTTACAATCAATCAACAAAAACCACTGTTAGTTCTACCTTCTTTCCTCTGCTCAATGCTGTCAATGTTTTATTTGAACGACATCTCAGAGCCTCAGAAATTTCACTACTTACTGCAGACATCTTACGTAGCCCATGAATCGTCAATGTCCAGACTAACGTTATTAAATATAGAATGCAAGACGATGTCATTATGAACGATATAGAATGCAATAAAATACCATTATAAACAATAGCTTTATGGCATGTCACCTACTTTTCATACGCTTCAAGAGCATTTAATACTGTATTGCAGTATGAAAAGGGCGTTGAGTTTGCCAGCTGGCCCCACAAGCCAAAATTAATTCAAATCCAGAATCATAGTTTGTTCCAGATTGGACAAATCTTGATGGTTTTGGATTCGATTAAGCTATTTTTGCAGATTCGACTAAGTAAAATATGATGATCACCCCATGCTTCCTTAAGCTTTCCTGAAGTACTTTTCAAGGCGAATCCAATGGTACTAAGTAAAATAGATGATTTGAATAAACTTACCAAATGATTTATGAAAATATGAAAAGAGGTTTCTGGCCAAAATGTCGAAATTTTACATATCAAAGTCCCACAAAGATGATTTCAGAGGTTGCTTTGGATCGAGAGAAACATTTTGATTCAAGGTATACCATAGTAAAAGTCTTCGTTATCAAGATGAAAAATGCAATCGTTTGATTTTCAGTGAAAACCATGAGGGGTACCTCATGCTTTTTGGTCGAATTTTGTTCATGTTTTTTTGATCCCCAAAAAGTTGAGCAAAGGTGTCAGAAAGTAACTGCCAGATGAGAGCAAGTGTTTGGTCCTATTATGACAATCTAAAACGGCCTTGGACGCGAGAAAACGCAGCTCAAATGCATTCAAATTTTGCTGTAGTATGGACACTAAGGACTAAAAAGTGGAAATACCAGTATGCTACTTGCCCGTATATGAAGTAGATACATGTATATGGATGTAGAGCATCAGATAAGAGTCAGATCCACAGATATTATAAAGAGTTTTCATGTGTGAGTAGAGGGTTAGCTTAAACGTAGTAGTATTATGATAAGATACACAAGGGTAACCGGTAGCTCGAGCTGTCGCTGTGCAGGTTGGTTCTCTACCTTCGCTACGCTTCGGTGAGAACCATCCGAAGCATAAACACTCATATGATTAGTGATTATATATCAATCAACAATCAGGGTTCTTCTTCTAACATTCTAGCTATATTAATATTGGGATATTAGCCAAAGGCCCACGGCAGCGCGAGTCGTTTGAACGTAGGTTGGTTTCCACCGAAGCGAAGCGTAGGTCAGGAAACCACCCGAAGTGCTGAAAGGCTCGTACAAATAATAAATAGGGCTTGAATTTTCTTTCACATCGTTTCAATAATAGCTTCCGTTGATACCAGTGTATAAGCAAAAGGAGGAGGATGCAGGGAGAAATACCTCTCCCATTCTGACTCTGATATAATCTTTCTTTTATTATCGATAGATTGTTTAAAATCTACTTAAATAGCAGGTTTTTATTGTCTCTGATTTGAAATGCCTTCGACGAGAGCCCACAGGGCGACGCCGTCATCGAGCGTAGCGCGATTGATCGGCTAGTAGCGTCAATACTGTGCATCGCATAAAATTCTGTGATTAGCAGCATCAAAACAGTAATGAATCCAAAACGTCTCTTTCTGGAGCAGATTTATATTGATAGAGTAAATTAGATAACGAGATACAATATCAACTATTTATTTGTCCAGGTTGAGCACATTCTACAGGCATCATCTCAAAAGAGCCGTATAAACAATAAGCTAGCATCTCTATTTTCTCAATTGCCATCAGAAATTCTTTACGTGAAAAATACCATTCCCTCGCATTTTCAGTCTACTTTTGTCGAGATGTAGATCAGTTTGACTAAATAATTTCAGCTACTAGTGATTAAAGCCCTAGAATTACTATGCCAATTCTATGGATAAGTAGGTGTAATGTAACAACTGTAAGAGCAGCAATACAGTCAAAACAGCATAAAATTGCACAGTATGCGGCAAAACAGGAACAAACGTATAAATAGCATACCTGAACAGTTCAAAACAATACAAGCATAGCATCGAATCAAAGGATGAAGCTCAGTGTACCTTTTGGTACCTTAATTTTTCAACTTGTCTGGTTTTTACACCCACAAAATCAAGGTGAGAGTTTTGACGACGCTCTTTTGAGTGTTTTCGGAAAAGTAGTTTTTAAAGCTAGCGTAAGCATCGTTGAATTTAGATATAAAATTAAAAGTACCATTGTTAGAAAGCCAACATACAGGAAAATGTTGGCGTGAGTTTTGAAATATCTATCTTGTCTATCGCTTCAGCTGCAGCTTCTTAAAATTGTAATTTTGGGTCTAAAATACGCCAAAGCACCCTGCTTTGTATTTGTAGGAGCTGAGTTAGAATGTGTGATGAGTGCAGTCAGTGCCTGACTATTGTCTCTTTTCAGATCGTTGCTACCTCATTCTTACAACGAACCCCATCTTGTAAGCTTTTTCATTACAAAACTGCCTGCACGATATCAGAAGCGTTATTGAAATTTAAATGAATTACGAGATGCATCGTATCAAGTTTTTGGAGTACATAAATTTTTTTGATGTGTACGGTGGACATCAACGACCATTGGCATTTATTAGCATTCTGAAGATGAAGATGAAGACCCCTTTTTCTTTCTCTGTGTCATTGATCCCATCCTTTTGAGAAAAGACTTTGGAGCATCGTCTTCTGATATCGGTTGCAAAACACCGTGGTTTTTAACAGATGCGTATATCTCCTTCAAGCATAGTTCCAGCTGATTTTTCCACACGTCCATGTCCTCCTCATCATCCAGGTCAATCTTTTGCTCGAGCACAGTGGACATTGTGTTTTCACAGAACAAATTACTAGTCATTTTAGAATGACTACTGATTTGTACCAGATGGAGATCCGTATTCAATAACATGATGGAGTAGGTAATCGTATAAACCACATCTGAAATAGTAATTGGCTTTGGGTTGAGCGATTCATATATACCAAACTGTATCTTACTTTACCCGCGTTCTTGTACAACCGCTTATCAGAGTTTTGGCTCCAAAATTTGTGCGAAAACACCTCGAGGATACGATCAATCTCTTGTGCTTCTGCTTTAAAATAGAGTTTTTGACACAATTTTCTGCAATACCGACGCACATAATCAGCATACATTGTACAGTGCTATCATTGATTCCCTACCTAAATGCCTCGTCTAATACCATTCCCGTAAAATCAAACTGGTCCATGTATGACTTGAGCACTTTGTGACAAAACGGGTCTCTATAAGCCAATTGCAACAGGTAATTAGATGCTAATTTAGATTTGTGATTCTAGTTTGTATATACTCACAATTTGCCAATGTAGGCAGCAATTTCTCTCTTGGGTAGACACTCTTCATCTTCTGCCCACAGCGAGCGTGCTTTCCTTTCTACCTGGTCATCGTCGTCTTCCTTGAGAGCTATCAGATCTTCGATGGATCCAAATATTTTGTCATTCATTTTCCACAACTCCACCGAGGAAGAAAACATGTTTGCCCAATCCACTTTAAAGACAGACTTGTGTTTCCATTCCAAAAGCGCTTTTGTGATTTCATCATCTTGCTGGCTCCTTTTCAGTCTTCGAGGTTTATTATGTAAACTCGAGGATCGAGAGGGCGGTATAATAGTTGGCTGTAAAGGTTCTGGATCTTCGAATAGAAAAGGAGGTATAGGAGGGAGGGGTTCGTTCAGTTTACCATTGGGCTTTTGAGGTAATGATTTAGATCTCATTGGCGTCTATCATGTTGTCATTAATAAGTAGTACTTGCTGTATAGCACCATGCCGAGCCTACCTTTCGAGAAAAATGAGAGAGGGAGCTTGATCTAGTTAATCTCACTGACTGATGCTCTTTGACCGAAGATGATCGCTGTGGAGGCTGTATACATAGCTGAAATCTATTCACATGTTGCTCGTCCTGATGCGCCTGCTGCTGTTCCTGCTGTTGTTCTTGTTTTTGCTGATGATGAACGAGTGAGTGGTTCCTCTTGGGAGAGGCTAAAGACATTTACAAATATTTACAAGAGAATTGTATAGACAAAAAAGAAGATTTTTAATAGACTGCATTCTAAATCTCCTTTGTAAGAGGTCGGAAAGGCAAAAGAAGGCAGACAGCATCACACATCATAGACAACAGTAAGCACAGCTTCACGTGGCACCGAGCATTTCAGAGCACGTACTTAATATAAACAATGAAAATCCTTCAATTAACCAACGTTTTTCTTCTTTTGATCAAAAAGAGTGATGTTTATTGTACATAAATAGGATGGCAGTTTAATTGTCTTTATGCTCAACTTCTGTTACACCACCTTTCTTGTCGTGGTAAAATTCAGAGCAAATGGTTGAATCGCGCAAGAAACTTGAATTGCTCTTTGTCAAAGGAGGCTTTTGTTGCTTTTTGTCGCTTGTCAAAGCGTCTCCAATAGTGCTTGCCAATGTACCAGAGACGTGGTCTTTTGTAGGCTCGAAATCATCCGGCTTGTGCTGCTTGATATCATGAATTACTTTGATGGGATTACCGTATCGAAGAGAAAAATGATCGTCTTCCATGATGGGGTCTCTGCTTTCAGCGTGAGGAGAATGGAATGTATGAGGTGTATTTGATGCAGACATGCCTCTGAAGTGCTAAAAAAGATGTAGATGAAGAAAGAAAAAGAAAGTTCCCATCGTCGCCTCGATTCATTTCACTTATACTGCAACCCATTCGCAATGCCTGAAACATGACGTGACTAATGGGTGTTGTTTTCTCATTGCACTGTAGTAATTCACGACTGTCTGTCGTTGGTGAAGAGGCTTTTCAGGAGGCTTCATCATTTCATAAAAAGACAACCGCATGGTAACAAACTTGTTTATAACAGAGCCCATCTACACGTACCTCCGTATGAAGAGCACTATCTGATTAGAACAAAAGCCTCGCTTCATTCTAATCTCGGACACAACAAACAAATAAATCACTTGAGATTATTTACATGACTCTAGAGCAATTATATCATCCTATGGATCTCGCCATTTGTCGCATTATCTTATCATTCTTTTGAGCTTTCTACTGTGATATGAGCAATAACAGATATATCGGAGATGCAACAGCTGTGGCATTGAACCTTACATGAACATGCAATTTGCACCAAGACATCTCAAGATATTAGGTTTATGGGGACATGGTCGTGGGTTCGGCCATGACCTGTTTATTGTCCATATTGTCAGCAGATTACTTTGCGCTAGGCCATATTTATGATGAGACAAGCGGATAATCGTTTACACTCACATTCTATGTAAATTATCGATCCATGTGTGTAACATTGGTCCCAAAAGGACACTTGCCCACAATTTTTCTCCTGTATTATCGTTACGAGCTGCCAAATGTCAGTGATTCCTCTTCAATGCATTACTATGCAGTTTGTATGACACTATGCTTTTCAAAGTGTCTTTTCACTATTTGCGTGGCAAAGGGTGAGTAGGGATCAATCTAGCCAATATCATCCTTCACATCCGTATGGATTGCCGCAGAGCATTTGATCCTGTGAATGCTATCAAAAACCAACATCCTGGTTTCTAACTTCAAGAATTCTGACTATCCAGACATAACAGGGTGTCCAAATGGAGAAATGCCATCTATTTATGTTTGCACAAATCGGATAAATTGACCATATGAGGACATGTCTACTCTTTGATTTGGAATCATGTTGGTTCGGCGACTCAGCACCTCGCAGAAGCTGAGACCTATATTAGATATACCTAAGCTGTTATTAACTATCCCATTGCTCAAGCAGTGAAGAGCTCTTGAATATCTTGATCCCGGGCAGACCAAATCTATGGTGTCTCTAGCATGCCCCCCAAATATGCCATTTGCTATCAGTTATTTACCTCCATCAGTGAGTTGATTCAGACCAACTATTCATTGTGGTACGCCATGACATGGTAAACACCATTCTATATTCTACCATATACCATATATCCGTGCAACTATCCCCCCGCATTTTCTTCCTCATCAGAATGCGGAGATTGTTGAATATCATGATACACACACAGGTGGCCGTCAAACACATTAAATCCACTCTCACACACTGCGCCTGCATACGCATCCGGAGAATTTCGGTCCAATGACTATAGACTCTACAAATCAAGGTTAACAAATCGTATATTAAACAATACTCTTGTACACTTTTGTAATAAGCTGATTCTATTCATGATGTCATTGGATCACCTTGTGTGGGGAAACATCTTGTCAGCTTTAGTCATGAAAGGATTGTATATAAATAAGCAACTGATTACCGACCCCTTGCATCCAGATAATTGATTTTTTTTTCTTATACAAAAAAATGGTTAAAAGACTTAATGTCTACAATCATTTCACTGGCGGCAGTCTAGTCTTAGCGATCAATCTGGCTGCTGGTCTCAGTATTTTCTTCTTTGGTTGTATGTGATCTGATTAAACAAAGTCTGTCTTTTAAGATACTGAAAATGTTCATTAGATGATCAGGGCGTTATGGCCAGTGTAAACGTGTCTCCCGATTATAAGAATCTCATGGGATTACAAAACAACGAGGCACTACTGGGTGGTGTAGTCGCCGTGTATTATGCTGGCACTTTGATGGGCGCCTTGAGCGGTGGATCCATAAGTGACAAGATTGGCCGTATCAAGACTATTATATTGGGCTGCGCTATTGCTATCCTGGGTGCCTGCCTGCAAACATCTGCTCAGAATATTGCTTGGATGCTCTGCTCTCGTATCATTACTGGTGTGGGTACTGGCCATCTGTAAGTATACATTTTTGCATTACATTCGAGCATTGGATGCTGATCGTTCTGGTGTTGTAGTAATGCTGTGGTGCCTGTCTGGATTGCTGAAACTTCGCATCATACATCGCGTGGTGCTATGCTTGCTTCTGAATTTACCCTGAACATTTTTGGCGTTGTGGTTGCTGTAAGTTCGGGTTAATACAACGGGTAGAATATAACGCTCATTGCGCTTTGAATGTAGTATTGGCTGGGCTATGGTTTAGCAGATGTAGAAGGTGGATTCAGATGGAGATTTCCTATTGCCTTTCAATTGATCCCTCTGGTTATCCTTACAGTTGGCATTAATTTCTTTCCCGAATCACCCCGTTGGCTTCTGAAAAAGGGACGCACTGATGACGGCCTTCAAATTCTGGCTGCTCTTCGTGGTAAAGGTGATCCAAACCATCCCGATGTGTTGAGAGAGTATGAGGATATTGTGGCCAACATAAAGAAGGAAGAAAGTGAAGGTGAACCAGGTTATATCAGCATGATTTTGAAGCGAGACAAATTAAATATTGCTCGTCGTGTCCATCTGTCTATCTGGTTGCAGATCATTCAGGAATTAACGGGTATCGCATGTATCACTGTCTATGCTCCTTTGGTTTTCATGAGTGCAGGTTTCTCCGAGAAGACATCCCAATTGCTGTCTGGTGTCAATAACATCACATATATGCTTTCCACCCTTGTTGCTGTTTTCACTTTGGATAGATGGGGCAGAAGATTCACATTGTTCTACGGCGCTGTCTTGCAAGGTATTTCACTTATTATGGTTGCTGTTCTCACCAAGCCCGAGATCATGAATCAAAACCCTCTTGGCTATGGTATTGCGGCTACTGTTTTTACATTTGTGTATACCGCCCTCTTTGGTATGACCTGGCTAACTGTACCTTGGCTTTATCCTGTTGAAATCTATCCTACCAAAGTACGTGGAAAGGGTGGTGCCTACTCAGTTGTTGGCTGGTCCATTGGTAATGCTCTCGTTATGGAGATCACTCCTCCATTGATCTCTAGTATTGGCTGGATTACCTTTTTAATTTTTGCTGCCTTCAATTTCCTTGCTATTCCAATTGTCTGGGCGTTCTATCCCGAAACCAGTAACAAGACTTTGGAAGAACTAGATGTTGTCTTCTCTACTAAATCACTGTTGGTTTGGAATGCTGAAAAGGAGCTGGCTGCTGCAAAGGCTGCTAATGACGACGGCCTTCAGAGCGGCGAAAAGAAGGACGTTTTTACTCATACGAACGAAAAGAAGGAAGAAGGATCCGATCATAGCAGTATCTCATCATAAAATATTGACTTCAATTCTGAACAATATTCAAATATTACTACTACTCCCTACAGTTAAATCTTTGAACACCATTACACTAATAGCTACATTTAATATACTCTTGTAAATAAATCAATGAAAGAAAAATATCCTAAATTCTTTCGTTATAATAATAATTGATTCAGTTCGTATGAAAAAACCTTTCCTACTTTCTATTTCTCAACAGCAAACCCATCCAATCTAAAATTCAATTACACTATCGTTTTTCCCGCTTCAAATTGGTATAGGAACATGCTGCTTTCAAAGTGGTAGCATCAGTTTTCATGGTGTTATTCAACAAAAACATGTTTTTGCCACTGTAAACTCCAATTTGAGGGTGGAAAAAAACGATTTTTACAAAGCACCGTAGATGTCCCAACGAGGTCTCATTTTATAGAGCAAACAAAGAGGAACAAAATTTAATTAATGGAGAAGCCATGTTGAGTTGACAGTTGATCAAGAAATAGCGTCCAAACACTGTTCATTTATATTATATTGGCTACTTTACACTTTCCTCGCTTAATTTTTTGACAATCAATGTAGCGACTGAAAATCCGTCCATCATATGTATAGCAACCCCTCCAAGAGGATATATAATAATAATCCTAATATAAAGGTTTTAGCATTAACATAGAGCTTGGAATAGCTGTTCCACCTTTTTCGTAAAATGCGCAGCACAGCTTTAAATTTTTGCCATTCTACAACGAAGCAAGTTATCACTAAGCGGTTTTGAGTACAGCATTTTTCAGCATCTGACCCATCAATCTATTACGCGTAATCATTCTTAATCAGCAGGTTTTTATATGAAACTCATTACCCAAAGTTGGCTTATTTCGAAAACCTTCTATTTCTCAACAGCAAACCCATCCAATCTAAAATTCAATTACACTATCGTTTTTCCCGCTTCAAATTGGTATAGGAACATGCTGCTTTCAAAGTGGTAGCATCAGTTTTCATGGTGTTATTCAACAAAAACATGTTTTTGCCACTGTAAACTCCAATTTGAGGGTGGAAAAAAACGATTTTTACAAAGCACCGTAGATGTCCCAACGAGGTCTCATTTTATAGAGCAAACAAAGAGGAACAAAATTTAATTAATGGAGAAGCCATGTTGAGTTGACAGTTGATCAAGAAATAGCGTCCAAACACTGTTCATTTATATTATATTGGCTACTTTACACTTTCCTCGCTTAATTTTTTGACAATCAATGTAGCGACTGAAAATCCGTCCATCATATGTATAGCAACCCCTCCAAGAGGATATATAATAATAATCCTAATATAAAGGTTTTAGCATTAACATAGAGCTTGGAATAGCTGTTCCACCTTTTTCGTAAAATGCGCAGCACAGCTTTAAATTTTTGCCATTCTACAACGAAGCAAGTTATCACTAAGCGGTTTTGAGTACAGCATTTTTCAGCATCTGACCCATCAATCTATTACGCGTAATCATTCTTAATCAGCAGGTTTTTATATGAAACTCATTACCCAAAGTTGGCTTATTTCGAAAACCTTCTATTTCTCAACAGCAAACCCATCCAATCTAAAATTCAATTACACTATCGTTTTTCCCGCTTCAAATTGGTATAGGAACATGCTGCTTTCAAAGTGGTAGCATCAGTTTTCATGGTGTTATTCAACAAAAACATGTTTTTGCCACTGTAAACTCCAATTTGAGGGTGGAAAAAAACGATTTTTACAAAGCACCGTAGATGTCCCAACGAGGTCTCATTTTATAGAGCAAACAAAGAGGAACAAAATTTAATTAATGGAGAAGCCATGTTGAGTTGACAGTTGATCAAGAAATAGCGTCCAAACACTGTTCATTTATATTATATTGGCTACTTTACACTTTCCTCGCTTAATTTTTTGACAATCAATGTAGCGACTGAAAATCCGTCCATCATATGTATAGCAACCCCTCCAAGAGGATATATAATAATAATCCTAATATAAAGGTTTTAGCATTAACATAGAGCTTGGAATAGCTGTTCCACCTTTTTCGTAAAATGCGCAGCACAGCTTTAAATTTTTGCCATTCTACAACGAAGCAAGTTATCACTAAGCGGTTTTGAGTACAGCATTTTTCAGCATCTGACCCATCAATCTATTACGCGTAATCATTCTTAATCAGCAGGTTTTTATATGAAACTCATTACCCAAAGTTGGCTTATTTCGAAAACCTTCTATTTCTCAACAGCAAACCCATCCAATCTAAAATTCAATTACACTATCGTTTTTCCCGCTTCAAATTGGTATAGGAACATGCTGCTTTCAAAGTGGTAGCATCAGTTTTCATGGTGTTATTCAACAAAAACATGTTTTTGCCACTGTAAACTCCAATTTGAGGGTGGAAAAAAACGATTTTTACAAAGCACCGTAGATGTCCCAACGAGGTCTCATTTTATAGAGCAAACAAAGAGGAACAAAATTTAATTAATGGAGAAGCCATGTTGAGTTGACAGTTGATCAAGAAATAGCGTCCAAACACTGTTCATTTATATTATATTGGCTACTTTACACTTTCCTCGCTTAATTTTTTGACAATCAATGTAGCGACTGAAAATCCGTCCATCATATGTATAGCAACCCCTCCAAGAGGATATATAATAATAATCCTAATATAAAGGTTTTAGCATTAACATAGAGCTTGGAATAGCTGTTCCACCTTTTTCGTAAAATGCGCAGCACAGCTTTAAATTTTTGCCATTCTACAACGAAGCAAGTTATCACTAAGCGGTTTTGAGTACAGCATTTTTCAGCATCTGACCCATCAATCTATTACGCGTAATCATTCTTAATCAGCAGGTTTTTATATGAAACTCATTACCCAAAGTTGGCTTATTTCGAAAACCTTCTATTTCTCAACAGCAAACCCATCCAATCTAAAATTCAATTACACTATCGTTTTTCCCGCTTCAAATTGGTATAGGAACATGCTGCTTTCAAAGTGGTAGCATCAGTTTTCATGGTGTTATTCAACAAAAACATGTTTTTGCCACTGTAAACTCCAATTTGAGGGTGGAAAAAAACGATTTTTACAAAGCACCGTAGATGTCCCAACGAGGTCTCATTTTATAGAGCAAACAAAGAGGAACAAAATTTAATTAATGGAGAAGCCATGTTGAGTTGACAGTTGATCAAGAAATAGCGTCCAAACACTGTTCATTTATATTATATTGGCTACTTTACACTTTCCTCGCTTAATTTTTTGACAATCAATGTAGCGACTGAAAATCCGTCCATCATATGTATAGCAACCCCTCCAAGAGGATATATAATAATAATCCTAATATAAAGGTTTTAGCATTAACATAGAGCTTGGAATAGCTGTTCCACCTTTTTCGTAAAATGCGCAGCACAGCTTTAAATTTTTGCCATTCTACAACGAAGCAAGTTATCACTAAGCGGTTTTGAGTACAGCATTTTTCAGCATCTGACCCATCAATCTATTACGCGTAATCATTCTTAATCAGCAGGTTTTTATATGAAACTCATTACCCAAAGTTGGCTTATTTCGAAAACCTTCTATTTCTCAACAGCAAACCCATCCAATCTAAAATTCAATTACACTATCGTTTTTCCCGCTTCAAATTGGTATAGGAACATGCTGCTTTCAAAGTGGTAGCATCAGTTTTCATGGTGTTATTCAACAAAAACATGTTTTTGCCACTGTAAACTCCAATTTGAGGGTGGAAAAAAACGATTTTTACAAAGCACCGTAGATGTCCCAACGAGGTCTCATTTTATAGAGCAAACAAAGAGGAACAAAATTTAATTAATGGAGAAGCCATGTTGAGTTGACAGTTGATCAAGAAATAGCGTCCAAACACTGTTCATTTATATTATATTGGCTACTTTACACTTTCCTCGCTTAATTTTTTGACAATCAATGTAGCGACTGAAAATCCGTCCATCATATGTATAGCAACCCCTCCAAGAGGATATATAATAATAATCCTAATATAAAGGTTTTAGCATTAACATAGAGCTTGGAATAGCTGTTCCACCTTTTTCGTAAAATGCGCAGCACAGCTTTAAATTTTTGCCATTCTACAACGAAGCAAGTTATCACTAAGCGGTTTTGAGTACAGCATTTTTCAGCATCTGACCCATCAATCTATTACGCGTAATCATTCTTAATCAGCAGGTTTTTATATGAAACTCATTACCCAAAGTTGGCTTATTTCGAAAACCTTCTATTTCTCAACAGCAAACCCATCCAATCTAAAATTCAATTACACTATCGTTTTTCCCGCTTCAAATTGGTATAGGAACATGCTGCTTTCAAAGTGGTAGCATCAGTTTTCATGGTGTTATTCAACAAAAACATGTTTTTGCCACTGTAAACTCCAATTTGAGGGTGGAAAAAAACGATTTTTACAAAGCACCGTAGATGTCCCAACGAGGTCTCATTTTATAGAGCAAACAAAGAGGAACAAAATTTAATTAATGGAGAAGCCATGTTGAGTTGACAGTTGATCAAGAAATAGCGTCCAAACACTGTTCATTTATATTATATTGGCTACTTTACACTTTCCTCGCTTAATTTTTTGACAATCAATGTAGCGACTGAAAATCCGTCCATCATATGTATAGCAACCCCTCCAAGAGGATATATAATAATAATCCTAATATAAAGGTTTTAGCATTAACATAGAGCTTGGAATAGCTGTTCCACCTTTTTCGTAAAATGCGCAGCACAGCTTTAAATTTTTGCCATTCTACAACGAAGCAAGTTATCACTAAGCGGTTTTGAGTACAGCATTTTTCAGCATCTGACCCATCAATCTATTACGCGTAATCATTCTTAATCAGCAGGTTTTTATATGAAACTCATTACCCAAAGTTGGCTTATTTCGAAAACCTTCTATTTCTCAACAGCAAACCCATCCAATCTAAAATTCAATTACACTATCGTTTTTCCCGCTTCAAATTGGTATAGGAACATGCTGCTTTCAAAGTGGTAGCATCAGTTTTCA